GCACAAAGGATCACATATAAAGTGTAATAAACTTAAAATAAGACCTAAAACTCGAGTGATTTCGAATATTTGAATATTCTTCTTCAGGAGAACAAAGGGTGACCTTTAGCCTGTGCAATGCAATATATAGGAGGACGTGTGACGTCATGTAAACCAGAAGTCCCAGTTCAATTGAATCTGGTGACCAGCCAATCCCAACTCAAGCAGTTAAGTCTCCCGGAAGGAAGCATTTGTTTGTAGAGAGAAAAAAAACAAAAAATTATTATTAATTTTCATTATGTATGAAACTTTTGACTGATAGAGAAAAATAAATACATAGGAAGATGAGAGCTTGAGAAAATAATAATGTAAATTGATACCTGAAATAATAATGTAGAGAAATAGAAGCATGAATAAAAATGTGAATAATAATAATAATAAAACTTTACAAGCTTAATGACAAGTTATTCAGAATTTTTTTAGAGATGCTCGAAGGTCAACAATCCCAGGATCAAGATTGATGACATTCAGTGTTACAGTATTTAACAGTGCTATCCAGTAAGCTTCTTTAATTTCCCTGTTTCTGTTTGATGTAAAATTTGTCTATACACCTATACATGTACATTTGAATGGGGTATAAAAGACTGGAGCAAATGAGAAAAAATCAAACCAATGCTTAGATGGCCAAAGGAAGAAATCCTGGCAGTCGAGTAATAGCTATAAGTGTGGGTGGAGATAAGTATTATTGGAAATACCTTTTCAATTTAGGAAAATGTTAACTTTCTACATGTTTATAAGAATGAGATTTTTATAGGTAGTTAGTGGATTATATTTTAATTGTTGGTGCTCGCCAGTCAAGTCGAAACCATGTTGTTCAGAATCCAGAATTTTCACATCAATACCTTGTAGAAGATAATGAAGACTTCTCTTCCACCAGATATTGTATCCTTCTGTCAACCAGAAGATTCTGTGATTGTTGGATCCAAGAGGATTAGCCTGCAAGAGTCCAATTCATTTGTTTTTACTCTAATAGAGAAAGACACTAGTAGAGTATAATATGGTATTTCTGTGAATTTCTATAGACCTGTTGAAAAGTATCAGGGACGAGGAAGAACCTTACAATACAGTGTTGGCCAAAAATCAGAAGAGAGACACTCCTCTGCAGAGAAAGGCTTTGATTGAACAACTGATGAGCCTTTTTTAAGAACTCTAAATCCAACTGATTCTGATCAAGACTGAAAGTCTCCTTCTCGAAGAACCTTTAGACATCAACGTGTATACATCATAAACTGCCCCTTTTTTTCCCTGACATCATTGAAAGAACTTTTTGTACTTCAGCATTTATTGACTTTTGTTTTCTACTGACTGACTGTAAATTGTAAAGATAGTTGGTAACCTTGGTGTGCATGAACCCACCAACCCACACACACACACACATAAATATATACACACACACACATATAAGTATATATATACACACACACATATAAGTATATATATATATACACACACAGAATGTTTGCATGAGAGCTGACTATTTTACTTTCTATTGAATAAGTAAAACAACCTTATCAACTTGCATTCTGAGTTCCTGTTTTTGTAATTGTATGACCTATACCATTTTTGTTAGAATATGCATATATTTGAAACATATTTTGTTTGTTCATATCAGAACTTGCTTCTAGCAATGTATAAAGTTACTTGACCATGTACATTTTTTTAATCTTTAGGAATGTGATGATCCTATGATTGTATAGGCATTTATTTAATGGTTAAACACTTATTTGAAATAAACCTTGCATGAAACTGTTTTTTTTTTTTGTGTGTATTAGCAATGTATTTACGTTTGATCTAGTCAAGTATGTCAGTCACAGAAAAATTTTAGTTTGTGTTGTGATGTACATTATGCATCATACAAGTTTTTTGGTATTGTTTATGAAATTATCCAGTTTAATGATGGATTACGAAAAACTCAAATGTTTTTAAATATTATGTTTTCGTGTATTGATTCTATAAAGAACTCAATTTTAATGTAAATTTTAAAATATTTTTATTTTGGACATTTTTAGAGCCTGAAGCTATGAACACATCATGGAAGCTGCCTATCTGAAGATGAGCTTTTGCCATTCTGATAAACAAAATATAAAAGAACATTATTCAAGAATATGTATATTTAGATAATTAACAATGTGAGAATAAATAGTTAATAGTATATAGCAATTTTACATATCAATCTTATGCCATGGCAGATGTTATGAAAAAGTACTTTTGTCCAAGGTTAGTGGATTATATTGTAATTGTTGGTGCTCGCCAGTCAAGCCGAAACCATGTTGTTCAGAATCCAGAATTGTTACGTCGGTACCCTGCAGAAGATCATGAAGATTCTCCTCTTCCACCAGATGTTGTATTCTTCTGTCAACCAGAAGGTTGTATGAGTGTTGGACCCAAGAGGATCAGCTTGCGAGAGTCCAATTCTTTTGTTTTTACTCTTACAGAGAAAGACACTAGTAGAGTACGATATGGTATTTGTGTTAATTTCTATAGACCTGTTGAAAAGCATCAGGGACAAGGAAGAACCTTACGATACAGTGTTGGCCAAAAATCAGAAGAGAGACATTCCTCTGCAGAGAAAGGCTTCGATGGAACAAGTGATGGGACTTTTTCAAGAACTCTAAATCCAACTGATTCTGATCAAGACTCGAAGTCTCCTTCTCCAAGAACCTTTAGACATCAACATGTACGTAGTCACTCCCTCACATCACTATGTATCATAAGCCATCATCCATTTTTTTCTACATTCCGTGAATGTCTTCTCATATTACGAAAGCTCATTGATGCATCCAGTGAGTGTACATCAGCTAAACATATTGGAGGATCTAGACAAACAAATAGGTATTGTATGAGTTTTTTTATTTTTATACCTTTTAATAATTAGCTAGGTATCCTGTACTTGATATTTAATAGTGACTATGATATAACCATTGTATTTATATTATTCTATATTTTATGGAACAAAAAATAATTCACTGTTATGATTTGTGATGAGATGTTATTTCAGTGCCAAATTTCATAAGATCATTGAAAGTTCTAATATAATTTTTTACAAGATATTTATCAAGAAAATAACATCCCACTAATTAATTGAGAGTTTCTTTTGTATTAATTTTGGGTTTACTATTCTTTGCGAAGTTACTTAATTGATTATCAAATGCTATTTCAGTTGGTGTATATTTTTATGAAGTTTTGCATTTAGATTTAATTGTATTATTTCTCCTTAAATTCTGCTTGGACATTGTGTTTTTAGGTATAAACTATAAAAAATTTAATCACATAAATGCCTTATTATAAGCTACTTGTAAGCTCAATATGGCTGTTTTTTTATCTATTATTAATGTTAACTTTAATCTTATTTAAAATTAATTTTTACTTTATTTAGTTTTGCATAATTGTTTTCTTTACAGATACTTTAAGTATAATTGTATGTGTATCACATTTATATAGGTAAATTCATAAGTGTGCGCATCGAGTATTTAGCAAGTTACTTGAATTATGAAGTACTGAAAGTTGTTATAATGTTTTCTTAGTAAAGAGGTTTATGAGCTGATAAATGTAATCATTTACTTCTTAATTACCTATCTTTTGATTAGGAAATTGTTAACATTTTTACTGAATGTAAATTTATGAAAGTTTAGCAAGCTATTTTATAATTTTAAAGGAATTATAAATTGAATTTTAGTAGAAATCAAGCCAACTTGATCTCAGTGCTGTTTTGTAGTTATTTTACTTAATTCAGTGCACCTACATCAGGCTTTTGAAAACATAATATTTTTATTTGTTATGTTCTTTTCATATATAAGTTTAAATTTATATCTATACTGTTTATGATACATTGTTTTATTCTTCTTAGGGAGACACTATGGTCAGTTTTGATAGGAAGGGTAACAGATAACACCCCAGTTAATATTCTGCATGATGTACGAGAAATAGAGATGTGGATGTTCAGGTTGCTTTCTGCTCCAGTACCTGTCCCTTCCAAGACAAGAGTAGAAGTATGTTTTCAAATTTAGAGGAAGCTCTAGATACATTATTTCTCATGCATCATTATAGTGTTTATCATAAACTCCCCACTGTGGTAAAGTAATTAAGAATTACTAAACATATAAAAACCTGTATTTTAGTTAAAGAAATTGGGTTATCTGTATGGATAACCTGTTGGGACTCAGTTAGAGAAAAACTAAAACTCAAGATCTATTTCAATAGGTCTAATAGTTCTTGACATAGGTGCTACAAGAATGGTGCAGTGATAAACCACACCAAACTAATATTCAATGATAAAATGTAATATTACACTGTTAGATTTATTGAACTGTGTAAGTTTAATGGAAGAATTATGATTTAGTTTATATAGCATGAGTGTTATATTTAGTTGTTTTTTTTAGAAAAATAGCTGATCACAGGTTTATTTACACAATTGTTTACAAATCATATGTGATATAGTTCAATTCTTATTAACTTGTGATTGTAACATTATTGTATCATGTTAGTAGAACCTCTGTAGTATTTCTTGTTGTTTTAATTAAGTATTATTACATCATAATATCTAGTAGTTTGTGGAATGTTCTAGATCTCTGTCTGGGTATAAATACATGTTGAAAATTTTGTTTGAGAGATAGATCTGGACTGCATGATTGTGAGTTTAGTAATAAATAGTGTGTAGTGGCAATTTTTAAAGTGAAATTATCACAGATTGTATTGTAAGTATTGCTACAAAATGCCAAGCCTTGTTTTCCTAAAAACAAAATGGCACAAACAATTTGATGAAGAATATGTTTATTCTGAGTTATGCATGATTGAAGGGCACCATTGGTAATAATATAAATTATACTGGACAATGGATGTACAATGAAAGCCTTCAAAGCATCAACAACCTGCATCGAATCTAGACTGCATGATTGTGAGTTTAGGAATAAAGAGCATATAGTGGCAATTTTTAAAGTGAAATTATCACAGATTGTATTGTAATAACAGAGTAGAGAAGAAGAATTTGTCTTGTCAAATTGTGTTGTAAAGTATTTGAACCAGCCTGTGTGGACTTTGATGAAAAAGAGACAGTTATTTATAGTACTGGATACAATGTGATAACTAACAATGTAAGAAACATTTGTATATTCATTTGACTTGTTTTAATATATTATTTTAAAATAAGTGGACTGTGTGCTGTTTGTTTATTGTTGAAATTTATTGCCAACAAGTCACAGACACCTACTGTAAAGAATCCAACCCATACATAAAAACCTGACATACAATTAATTTTATAAATTAAACTCATGATTAACAGTGTGAGTATGAGTATGTCAGTCATAAGAAACATGATTTTAAAAAGTAACGGAGGATATGTTTCTTTACTAAGTAAACCTGCAAGTGTTAGATTATATGAAGGCATGAGGTCCTGTTTTAAGTGTGACCTTGAGGTACAAAAACTACCAAAAAACTGGTATTACAATAGCTAGAACCTTTATTTTGTATTTTTTTAAATTCAGTATTGATTTTATTGTGAATTGTAATAAGAAAACAACATGGATTTAATAATGACCACAGTGGGAATAACGTATTAGTGGTTATCATGCCAAACTGTTGACCTGAGGGTCCATGATTCACATCATGTTGGGGCTGTGGGTACATAGTAAGAGTGGTGTTCAAATCCATTTATTCACTAAGAGGAGCCCAAGAGTTGATGGTAGGTACTGTTGATTAACTGCTTTCTCTTTACTCTATCAGTTTAAAATTGGAGATGGCTAGAGTTGTTAGCCCTTGCAAGTATCAGAAATAAATCAAAGTAATAAATCAATATAAATAAATAAATAAATCAAATGTGGCATGGATAGTAGTTAGACATGGTTCAAACGGCAATAATACAATACAGTTTAATTATAAATAGATATATACTGTTACGAGCTTAAAGCTACTTAGGACAAACTAATGTAGTTTCATGTTACAATTTGAAGTCATTATAGAAAGAAAAAAAGGGTAATTAAGGTTTATTTTGATTTTTTTTTGGTGGTTACGATGTCATTCCAATTGACCGATCCTGTTTTGAGTTAGGTGAAATATAAAGTTTTACTGGAAAAACGTTTGAAATGTATTTAGGAGGTTTTAGTGATCACACAAAAGAAATTTGAGATGAGGAAAAGTATTTTTAATTTTAACATGAAAATTACCTGCACACAGACTATTCAAACAAATAATCAACATATTCATGGACAAATCTTTATTTTAGTTTATCAAAAATACTCCACTAAAAAAATATGATTTTTTGTATGTTAACTGAAAGACTGCCAAATTGTGTGAAGATATAAACTCTATATTGAAATTTAATAGTATTAAATCTATAAAGACTTTAAATTAGTACAAAGATGTCATGTGGTCAGTCAAATCAACTGATTTGGTTTTGAGAGAGTTAAACAAAGTATGGTATATTGTAATAGGTAACAGTTCTTGAACTTACAGATCAGTGGTAAAAGCCATCCACATGTCCCAGGCAACAGAATACAACATAAAGGGGATCTACATTTGGGAAAGGCACAGAATTCATGTACAAAAGTCACTTCCAAGACAGACATATCCATTCAACTGATATGTACTCCAAACAGTTGGAGAATGAAACTGATATTTATGCTATTCTGTATGAAGGCATACTAGTGAAGTTGCAAGATGCAGTGTTTGCTGATTTCTGTGGGATCAGACTGTTGAAATTGGCACTGTAAAACTGTTGTCCTTGTACACTAGCTGGCATAGTTCATAGAGAGTAGTGGTGTGCTTTTGTAATGATATTGAAATGATAGAGCCTTTTGCAATGGAAACTAAGTTGCAGAGCTGTTTTCAGGATGCACCACTGCTAGATAGAACATGATCGAACATGGTGATGTTGACTGTAATGATGTGGTGAGGCTACAAAATAATTTTCATATAATGTACTTAACCTGTGTGTGTGTATGATAAAAAAAAGTAAGTTTAAGAAGCATATGACAGTGTTATAATATCAATGTATGAAAAGTTTTTCTATTTATTACCCATGTGTCACTTATTTCATGTTTCTTTGGAGTGTAATGTCATAGAACTATAGTTATAAGCATTATTTTTAATCCCAAAGATTGGAAAATTAATTGTTTTTATTGTTATTATAAATTTATTTTATTGTAACTATCAGTAGTACTTTCAGACTTCTTAATTTAAACAGGTTCCTAACTCATTGATTTATGTTTAAAATCCATAGATTTGTAATAAACTGAGAAAGTTGAGAAACATGTACTGTAGCAGTGATATTTAAGGGTATTAATAGCTCATTATGTACCATATGTTTCTAATTTGATATTTCTGCTAGCTTTTGGAGAATAATTTATAAAGGTTTGTTTTGTTTATAAGTTAGACATACATTTGTTATTTGAATAAAATAGCACCAATTTAAGAGATAAAATAATGCTAAATTTGAGTTATACTCATGTATATATACTTTTTTTCTCAGCATATAAGAAAAAGAATTGTCATATTTTCTAGATGCATATTTTTTTACACATGATATCAAGAAATTACATCTTATTTAAGGACTAATGATGCTTGGTTGTTCCAGATCTTTCCAAAATGGCACCTTCCTAAAAGTGAAAATTTGTACATGTTAAATAGGTGGAAAATGTCTGGTTTGTAATGTAGTTTGTATGAATGTTACCAAGTTTCTTAAATTCAAGAATAATTTGAATGGTATTCACCTTGCATGTGGACACCCATTTTCTGTTAGATTTCTCTCAAAGCTGCTTATTACAATTGAACAATATTAATGTCATTTAGTAAATTACATAAAAAATTTTAACAAATCATTTGCCTTGCAAAAGTTCTTTATGTGGAGATACTCTTTTTGAAAACTCCACATGATACAATTTGAACTTTAAGTACAGTACATTCAGAAATTTGTCTGATTTGTATCTTAGAAACTACTTTAGTATAATGTTGCACATATTAGGGCCTACTGAAAGGTTATGATATAAACTTAAGAAATTGTTGTAGTCAAAGGAAGAAATTGAAATTAATGTTGCACAATAAAGATAAAATGTGTATGAATTATTCAGAAATCTTTGTAATTAAGTCTAATAAAGAAATATCAATCTCATAATATGTTAATAGGTTTGATAAGGTCATGCAACATAGTCTTCTAGCAGGAAAAATCTACAGCTTTTTTTTGTTTTTTACATGGGAGGGAGAGTCTACATCAGATTGTTCATAAATAGTGAGTAGGTAATAATATATTGTTAAGAATTCTAACAATATTGTGAATTTTATCAGATTAACTCTTTCAGCATGGGCTCGGTCCCTGGGACCAGCCACATAACCATTTTGTGCTTGTTATAATTTTCATGCTATAACTTTTAAGTTAGTAAGTGAATTTTAACGAAATTTGGCAAATTATCAGTAAACATTACAATGCTTTCATACGCAAAATATCTAATTTTTTATTAAGTCTTAAGGATAAAAAACAATGTTTTTCTCATGTTTTTTTTCTTTTCATTTTAAGATTAAAAATACTTTTATGCATCAGAAAATTTTGAAATTGGACTTGCAAAATCTTTATAATGTCCAGATAGTTATCAAGAGTTTCCTAAGAAAAAACTTTATATTTTATCTGTTATTTTCAGTAATTAATCTCTGTATGGGTTTGAACAAAAAATTAGGAAATAAATATAAATTATGCCTCTTTCATTCTAGAATGAACACAAATTATAACACAAGAACATAAATATTTAGGCTCAATAGCTTAAACCTCATAACATTATATATTTATTATATTGACCTTTCAGCTGTGCCTGGCTAGCAATACAGAAGTTACAATGACGCATATCAAAGAAGATAAAACTGACCTTTGGTCTGTGCAAAGTAACTTGTCTTGGCTGTGTTTTAG